CTTTCGCCTACTGAACAACTTAGTGTATGCTGCTCTATTCAGGCGAATGATGGCATACCTGCTGAGGGCAATGCACATTAGATTGTTGATGCTACATCCAAAGCAAAGTACAATTAAGAAGCCTGCAATGGTGCAGAGGGGTTTGATAGTTGGTGATTGTTCTGCCTTCAGGAGTACAACTGCGTTAATTGGAAACACAAAGATACAAATCAAAAGATCAGCGACGCTCACATTCAGCACAAATATGTTGGCAGCATGCCAGAGTTTCTTAGACAATATCACAGAAGCTAGGACCAGTGTGTTGCCAAATATTCCTAGGATTGAACATACCAGAAAAAATGCTGCAATGATCTGCCTAAAGGTGTCACTAAAGAACATCACATCAGAAGAGGAATTTGTGCAGTTGTCTTGCTCATCCATTATTGAATAACTCAATAGAAAGTTGCGAGTTTTCATATGGAGAATACAGCTGAAAATGTATAATTCAAAGTAGTCTTTCTTGTATTAGTGGTCACTGCATTGAAAGTCTGCAATTAATTCTACAGCAGCAGACAATCATAAAAAGCATGCATTATGGACATTTTCGGCACTGCTCTGATAGGATCATTACTTCTGACAGAAGGAAGCATTTCCAAAGTCATGCTTCACAGATAATGGGTTATGGACTTGTCTCATTTGAGTGAAGATGACAAGTAAGCGGCTGTGAATACTGAAAATGAGTACCGACATAGAATTCATATTTTAATTTTTTTGTAATTTAAAATGATGATGTAAAGACTGAAAATAAAGTAACTAGAGCACAAAGTGCAGAATTTCAATGATTGGCACTCTCCTTTCATCTGCACTCGTTTGTGCTTGCTGTTAAAAATATGTCTGAAACAAATGCAATTCCCTTGATTATATTGTACTGCCTGAAGTTGGGAAATTGTCTTTCTATGACCCTGAGGCATGTGAAGTCATTCTTGCACTTAAATTACATGTATGTCTGTGCCAGGTACCAACCCAATATCAATCATTACATGTAGTTCAGTATTTTGGGGCTGGGTACCAATGAAAACTCAAGTAAAAAAGAAAGAAAGAAAAAAGGCAGAAGTGTTTTAATCATGTGCATTGTATTTCAGTTTCTCTTTTTTTAGGGAAAGAAGGGATTGGGGTCGAATCATTTTTGCTACCAGTAGCAGTGGGGAGGGGACTGAATTACCAATGATGCAGCTGCATTGTTGTCGAGTCAAAGGCATGTAAAGATGCCTCTGGTTGCTGTCAGATAACCTATATTTGAGCATGGAACACAGCAAGAGATTGAAAGTGTTAATCTTCCACCGAGGGAGGAAAATCAGAGAACCTGAAAAAACCCAGTGGCACAGAAAAGAACTGAAGAACCGACAAACAACTTTACTCTGCTTGGCCCTGCCCTAGAATCGAACCTAAGACCACAGGGGTGAGAGATGAGTCCTTTACAACACAAGCCACCTGTGCGACCCTGCAACACAGAGTTACTTTGAGGACTCCTCTTTTCTTATTTAGTTGGAAATAGTGTTTCTAGAGATACTTTCTGAAAAAACTCCACAATCAGTTATAGAAAATGATTAAATTAAGAGTACACAGTTTAAGTAAGACCCCAATCAATGTAGAACAATTCACTGTGAATTTGCCCTTAAAAATTTTCACTGACTATTTTTCCATTTCAGCAGAAACGAACTGTTTGCTACACAGGAACACTTCCTCCGTGACAACAACAGGTGTTTCCGTGACAACTCATCCCCATTTCTTATCTTCTAGTAAACTACAAATAAGTACAGGACAGCACATACATGTAAGCAAGACTTAAATTCCTCCAACGACATGGAATGACATGTATACATGTATCGATACACGTACATAAATCATCAAATGAAATGAACACATGAACAGCTGATATGTATGAGCTGTACCAAGAGTACTTTTTTCAATTTGCAGAAAATGATTCCATTGTCACTACTTTCTTCTACCAATGTAAAGAATTATCAGTAAGGGAATAAATATATGCTTGGCTGGTCTTAAACGTACCGGTACGTTTAAGACTGAATACTCGTACCGTACCTTTTTAGTTGGAGAGTCAAAAGAAGTCAATCTATAATCGATTTCCGATGTTTTTGTTCTAGAATTTTACTTTTGTTTTCCCGAACAACCCCGTCCATTTTTATGGAATATTCCTTGTGCAAATTGTCCAATTGGCATGCGCATGGCGAGCCGCATGCACACAGACTCTTGACCAATCAGAATCAATTAAACTGTCTCGTATCCAGGTGCCCGCCTGTGATTTACGCAGTGGGCATTATCACTTCTCAGCCGGCATTATCAAATGTTCA